TAAACTTAAATATGGGTATATATTATTACCAGAGGAAATTAATGTAATATGTAAAAAACGGGCACATTATTATTTTGGATCGAGCTCTGGGATATTGTAGAAAAACACGTTTATATTATTTTAAAGATCACGTCTTGGGCATGAATCGCATTTCAAAACGACCAATCTGAGCTCTTATAGAATCATACAAATTCAACAAATCTATCTTCGATGAGAATATTTATTGAGATTTCTCTATAAAATTTTGGCCAGCTAGATTTTTTTAATTTTTAATATCCATTGTTTGTTTAGCTCCGTAACCCAACAAAAAGTGGTTTTCTATGGATAAGATATCAAAGCGATATAAACGTTCATTACAAATTCAAAATCAATATGATTTCAAGAACACCCTAAATCTTCCGTCGATGCGTACTTTTCACCCACTGTTTTGAAGGAATCCGGCGGTTCATGTTTTCGTCTAAAACAATTTGCAAAGTTTTTCTTCGTTTCTTTTTTTGCATTTTTTTTTTTTGTTCTTTAAGCTATGTTTCTCTATAAATGAAACATTTTCCAGAAGTGTCAAACGTTTAGTAAAAGGTTGGTTGTTTGCTTGTAAAACGTTCTGCACAATGTTACTTAATTTGTGTTGCGTGGTATCAGTATCTCTCTACTATCTACCCTCTACCTCTCTCTTTCTCTTCTTTAGACAACATAAATATTAAATCCTGTTTTGAAGCCTTTAAGCCTTAAAATAATTTAAATGAAAGGATAGATGCTGTCTCAAGTTGATGCTGATGATGTTGTTGTTTATGTTTTCATTTCTGTTAAGCAATGTCATAGCTGTTGATGACAATGATGCTGTTGTAGTTGTTGTTGTTGATGATGGTGATTTTGAAAGAGGTCATTGTTTGTTTGTTGTGTCCCTTTTCAGTTTTCGAGAAAACAAAAATTATCACATAATTTGCTTAGGGCCAGCAAATATCATTTTCATGTTTCATGGCACTGATGATAGTTTGTCAACAAGTGGAGCAGATACCCCCTTGCTGATTATACAATATTTTGAAAACAGAATGAAAAGTATTCTAGATACCGCAATCACCACCTGCAGTGTTGACACTTTTGTCATTGTGAATGCCATCTTTCAGATTAGTTTTTTGTTCTTGCATATTTTTTGTTTACTTTTCTGTAACAGTTGCATCCGTGTAGAATCCATTGGAGAGATGAAAGGATTCTAGTTACCTTCGTTGAAAACTTTCTTTCTATATTCGGATGATATTAATTTAAAACTTTGATTATTTTGATTTACATAAAATTTTCTGTCAATACTTGACGAAAACTTCCAATGCCAAACTTGGTTTATTTTATTTTTTTTTTTTTGGTGAAAGATAATAGAAAAAGTTTGTGTTTCCTTATTTGTCTTTGTTGAAGTTAAGTATCAATTTCATATTAATTCTTTGTATTGTTGGGTTTCTACATAACTTGAATTTTAGGGATTTGTATTTTTTTTTACATGAAAAAATTGTTTTTGGGAAAGTAAGAAGCAGGAATAATTTTGAAAATAGAAAGAAGAATGTAAAATTTATCTTAGAAATAGTATTTTTAATGTTTTAATTAAAAAACATTTTTTTCATTGCAAAATTTCTTATTGGCAGGGATTTTTTTGGGGAACATGATAACTAAATGATATATCCACACCAAGGCGAAACTAGTGAAGCTATAATTTTGAAATTTTCCATATGGCTCTTTGTTGGTGGTTAGGGCTTATAAAGTCGGGGTTGGGGTTATTCGAACTGTTAATGGTATTAAAAGTACTAAAGGTTGTTCAGTGATATTTAACGATAAAATCCGGAATTTAAAATAGATATCACCAATTAGTGCTGAAAATCGAACTAAACTGTGCTACTTTTTACGGTATTGAGCGGAATGGTAAATCCAGAAATCTAAAATCTGAAATGTGTGTGGTAATAAGACCCGGCCACATTTTCGTTTTACCATGATACCAGAATGCATTCCGTTTTACAAAGATGAGATAATTTTAGTTTATTAGAAATGTTCACATAACATGGTACAAAAAATTCAAGATATTAAGGTAACAGAAGCTGCTAGTGTTCCAAGGTATAGTTTAAGGTGTACTTCTGGAAAATAAATGCTATAAGTAAACCAAGAGGTACTAAGAGTTACAAAATTTTCCGTCCTTGTTTATGTGCGATTGGTTTGCTGTACAACTTAAAAAACGTAATGTTAGGCAATATCTGAAGGTGTTAGTTTTTAAAAAATATGTTAACAACTTAAAAAGTATCAATAGATATATATCCTCAGCCAATGTACGATTATTTAAACATATTTTGAATTCTGGTGTGAATATTCAAATTGTTGACCCTTAATGGAGTATATTCCCGAGGAATGGACCAATACTGTCCATTTCGTATCGGACCTAAAAAAATATGATATTAATATTGCGACGTGCCAGGTTTGGACTATATCGGCTGCTTCCTTCATTTTATATATGAGATATGTGATAATTTTTAGAAAATATTAAAATGTGCGTGAGGTACCAGATATAATCGACCGAAGTATTTCATTTCCCCACTTCATCTAATACAGATAAAATTATTGGCAAAATTATAAGAAAATCAAACATTTATATCCACTTTTATGGGAATTCATAAATTCCATATTCATCTCAGGTTTCGGGTTGATAGAAATATTTAGATATAGCAAGTTGTAAAAAATCGCTTACTTGTTTCGCAAATTATGACAGATATAAGTTATGAAAATTGTGTCCCTTTGTGGGTGAGGTACAAAAAGGGATTTGCAGATATATATCATCTTCACAGTAGATCTTGTCGTAGCAAATATGTTTGTATTTGTGCATTTTGAAGAGAGTTGGATGCTTAACTCGCTTTTTTTGAGCGCATTGCCTTTTTTTAATCGTGAACACTGTGGGGGAGGTACCTGAAAAAAAGGTCCGATGTCTACCACCTTTATGACTGATCTTGTGTTGATGGAAATATTAAGATGTACCAAGTCTGAATGAAATCGGATGTTAATTTCGTGTTTTATGGTCATCGTAGTTATTCAAAATTTAGACCCTTTGCGGGGGAGGTGCCAGAAAGAGTAGATCAATCAATATATCCCATTTTCACACCAGATATTGTGTTAGTAGAAATAATTGGATGTGTGAAATAAACAGAGAACCGGATGCTTATTTCGGATTTTATGATCTTTTTGGTCATTCAAAACTTTTACCCTTTGTGGGGGAGGTACTTAAAGAAATAGACCGATCTCTACCATCTTTATAACAGATATTGCGTTGATGGAAATATTAAAGTGTGCCAAGTCTGAATGAAATCGGATGTTACTTTTGCGTTTTATTAGCTTCATGGATATTCTAAATTTTGACTCCTCGAGGGGGAGGTACCAGAAGGAGTGGACCGATATATTCCATCTTCACACCAGACCTTGGGTTAATAAAAATATTTGAATGTGTGAAATATTAAGACAATTTCAGATGTAATAAAAGTTAAAATTATTCCAAATTTTAACCCCATGTGGGGGAGGTACTTTATGAAGTGGTGCGATATACTCCATCTTCACACCAGATTTTGTATTTAGGGAAAATACTGCAAAGTTTAAAGACAATCGGAATTTTATTTCACTTTTTGTAAGTTATAATTATTCCAAATGTTAACCCCTTGTGGGGGAGGTATGAGAAGGAGTAGACAGATATATTTCGTTTTCATAACCGGTCTTGTGTCGACAGAAGTTTTGAGATGTGCGAAATTTAAAGACATTTCGCATTTAAATAAAATTTATAATTGTTCCCAATGTTGACCCTTTGTACGGGAGTTACTTTATGGAGTGGGCTAATATTGTCCATTTTCGAACTGTTTTTGTGTCGACAGAAATATTAAGATCTACGAAATTTAAGACAATCGGCCTATCACATTCAAATAAAATTTATAATTTTTCCAAATTTGGTCCTTTGCGAGGGAGGTTCTTCATGGAGTGGGCTGATATTGTCAACCAGGGAGGTACCAACAGGTATTGTTTTCCATCTTAGAACTCAATCTAAGTTTGCCAATAAAATGTCGATGTACCAGGATTGGTGCGCACCTGTCAGCCAGTCAGACGAACGGACGGACAACACTAGATCAGCCCAAATGTCCTAAAACGGTATTGGTACACAGAGACCTAGGGTCTAAAACCGCTATTTCGATGAGGCACGTTTTGGCCGTATGAAATGTTTATTCCTTCTGTATCCTTATGGCTGAGGTTATAAAATTAGATGACTTTTATAGCTTCTTTTGGGGAGCATTTTGCTTGATAATTTTTTATATAGGTGCCATATTTGAAGTTATATTACCTACGAATTTCCCGAATCTAAGAATGTTCCACATTTCAAGGTTTAAGAAAAAATTCGCAATTGAATGAATTTCAATTTATTTCTATTGAAGAACCCTGCAAGTAACTTCCAAAACAGATCCATCTCTTAGGACAGGCAACTTCCGGAATTGCGGCAGTTGTAGTTTTCTGTTAAGACAGGAATTTGAAATTTTTCATTCTGCGAGGCCTCACAAAAGTTCTAAATACATTTATACATAATCATAAAAAAACGTTGTATTGTTCTCACATTTTTTACAAAATCTTCATTAAAATACACGATTGAGGTTCTCTCTTAATTAAGAAAATATTTGTTGTAGTGAAGTAAAAAATAAAAAATCTGAAAATATGCCTTGGGTACCCAGGCAAATTCTACTACTTTCTAATCTCTTTTAAAAATTCCAACACTTATCTCAAACTGTTGTTGTTTTTAACCATGATTTGTTCGAATCGTTTTAACCAACTAATGGTCAGAAACGAAAGCAATAACACTAATCTGTCTATGCAGAACTTTGGCCATTAAAACAAAAACCAGTTAACAAAACAAATTGTTACAACCTGGCCTAATAACACCCTGAGAAAAGAATACAACCAATTTCTAACTTCAGTTTTCTTTGTTTTCTCTCCTTTCATTTCAGGTGAACATCCGGCAGCCATGCAGCACAACTCAAGCAAAATGCATAGCAGCAATTTCTATTTAAGTATATGTTGCATGTTATTTACCATTTTAACATGTTGTTTACAACATTTGATGTCTACAACAATCGCAGCCACGGCAACCACAACAATAAGCCGAACTCTAATGTTGCCACCATCAGCCGCGACATTGTCGGCTAGGCAACATAAAACGAGAAAACCTGCTGTTACAAAAATAATACAAACTAAAGAGATCTTATCATCCGCAGCGGTGGCATCACCATCATCAGGACCAATTTCCAGGACCTCAGCATTAACCAATGGCAACCAGAAGTCTACAGCTGTTTCTAATGTTGTGGTTGCAACAGCCACATCAACATTAACGGACAACACTAGCAGCAGCAATACAGCAACAACAACAACAACGACAACAGCAACCATTTCCCGCCTGATGTCCTGTCGTTCAAGTATCCTCAGATGAAAGGCTAAAAGTTACGACAACTACAACCGACTGCTGTTGTTGCAGCTATAAACCCAAATCTTGTACGTGGCGGTGTTGGAAGTAACAGCGCCAGCAACAACAGCAGCAGGAGCTGAGGCAGCAGTATATCTTAGAGGTTCTTTACTTTTCTAACTTTATTGCCAGCCAGTCAGGGTTTGGCTGGTTTGGTTGATTTTTATAAAAGTGTTTTTTTGTTCACCTCTCGTTTCTTTGACTGGGTACCATTTGGGGCGGGCGATCTTATAACATAGCGACTTAACGAAAAACATAACAAAGCATACAGCAACAAAAAGGCAAAAAAAAACGAACAAATAACAAAGGATTTTCTGTTTTCATGTTCTCCTTTTTTGTGTCTGTGTTTCGGAGCCAACCAGGAAAAGACGTAAAAATAAAGCAAAAAAGAAGAAAATTACAAAAACGCCACATAAACTTCTTAGATAGAAAGGGAGAGGGGAAAGAAAAAAACGGCAGCCGTTAAGACAAAATTACAGGTAATAAAGTTGCAAAAAGGATTTTACAAAACACCATGCGTTTGAATCGCATTTTAAATACGAGCTATAGAAGCAGCAACAACAACAGCTAAAATATGGCCAAAACTACTAGGAAAACGCAATACCCAAACTTGGAAATTCTTTTTTCTTTTCCGTCTTCTTTATAATTTCACAGAGTCTTTGTGTCATGGGGGGTTTTCTCTCTTTGCCATCCTGCCAGCCAGCCATCAACAAAGAACAAATTACCAGTTCTGCGTAGTGAATAACAGAATCCGGAGATTTTGTAAAGTTGAAATAATTCATATAAAGTATGTTAAGTAAGCTAAACTAAGTTTAGCTAAAAGTTAAGGTAATTAATTTGTGTAAAGTACCGCAGCCAGCTTAACGGCTGGGAGAAAGTTTACCGACGTGGGACAGTGGTTAGGAAGGGAGGTATTATTTAATTTATATTTTATAAAAAAATCAAGAAGATATTTATCGCATTTTTTTTAGATAAATTAACTAATTCTTGCAAATTGCAGAATTCAATTCAAACTATAGATTCTATGCCATAGATGACGCAGAAAAAGCAAATCCATGTTAGGATGTATTTCCGAACAGCAGATGGAAGATGTGTCACCATAAAAGAATACTAGTTCAAATTGAGATATCCCTTCCAGATCCTGGGAGACTGGACCTACACAAATTGTAGTGATGTGGATTTCATCCGAATTGATTTGAAGTCTTAACTTAATTTCATGGGAATGTGCTTTAGACCGAATAATTGAGGGCAATATTAGACGGAGTATTTCTCCTTTTAAAACATTTATAATTATTTCAATATTCCCCTTTGTATGAATGACACCAGAAGGCTGTAGTTAGTCATGAATTAAGCTTAGTTTTGTATTTTTTAATTAATACTGTCATCAATTATTTTTTGCGAAGTTGAAGAATCTCCTGGGGTCATTGCTATTTTTGTGAAGGTTCTGATAATTCAAAAATTTTTGTATTTATGGGAATTTTCAGTAGAATATTAACAATTTTCTGCACATGACTTCGTCTTGGAACATAAAAACCCAATCCGAAGTTTATATTCCGAATTTCTTTGTGACATAAAATGGACTGATATATACCCTCTTTAGATCTAATATTGGTAGAATTTTTTCAATGAATTTTGCACCTTGTTTGTATCACGAGAAGATGGCTGATATTTTGTATTTTCACCACAATCCTAAATTTGCCACCAATAATTTTACGTGCGAAGTTTGAACCAGATCTGGTAGTAAATGCTATTATTATTTTTATATCCTCCGCCATTCTATAGAGGGTATATTAGTTTTGCCATTCCGTTTGTAACTCCTCGATATACTAATGATAGCCGTACAAAGAGATATATTCTGGATCAGCATACAATACTAAGTCTATTTAGTGACGTCTACAGGGTTGCCCATATTCGACGGACCCATCTGGCAACGCCATAACTTTTGACAGAGATGTCACATCGCTTAATGACATACCGTGTTTGAAGCGTTAGTGCAAGCAAATTTTTACCATGAACCAATACACGCCACGCGAGCGCTCTGAAATAGTTGAAATTTACATTCAACAGAAGAAGTCAATTGTGAAAAAAGTGCGCCTTCTAAGAACACCATTAAGCGTTTATACGAAAAATTTTCGACTGGTAAGGCTCTTTCTAATCCGAAGAGGCCATATAAAAGTCGACCAAGGCGATCGGCCGAGAATATCGCTGCCGTACGAGCCAGTGTTGAGAGGTCCCCAAGAACATCCCAAAAACGCTGTTCTCAGCAGTTGGGCATGGCTCGGTTCACTTTACAACGGATTATTCGCATTGATTTGCATTTGTTCCCGTACAAAATTCAATTGACGCAAAGAATGTTGCCTGCGGACAAGCCTCGTCGATTGGAATGGGCCCAAAGGGCCAAAAGGTCCGTCGAATATGGGCAACCATGTATATGTCTGTCCGTCTTTGTGATCTTTAGAATGAATTTAGATAATGCTAAAATTTTGCACACGTGTGTATTTTGCCATTAGGCGGGTTAAGTTCGTAAATCGGCCATGTCGGTCCACATTTTAGTGTAGACTCCATATAACGGTACATCCCAATATTCGGTATTTTAATGATTTTAGCGACAATTAAAACTTCATATTTAAAGGTCGCAATGGGTATTGAACCCACGTCTATGCAGTTTCACGTCTTCGTATAGCTCCCATATAACGGTACCTCCCTATATTCGCTATTTTGATGATTTTAGGGACATAATCTACCGGAATTGTTATTTTTTTATATGAAGGTCTTTATCAGGTCATATGAAGGTCCACGTCTTCGTATAGCCACCATATAACGATACCTCCCAGTCTGTATTTTGATAATTTTAGCGAAATTATTCACCGGAATTGTTTCAAATTTCGTATATGACGTTCGTAATGAGTACTACAACCTATGACAGAAAATTGTCCATGCAGGTCCACGTCTTCGTATAGCCCACATATAACGATAGCTCCTATTTATTCGGATTTTTTATGATATTCGCGACATTATTCACCGGAATTGCTTCAAATGTCGTATTTGAAGTTCGAAACGGTACAACAGGCTGTGGCGGAACATTTCTTACACACGCGTACACGTCATCATGTAGCTCCCATACAACGGTTTCATTTAAGCTGTATTTTTCGAAGGATTTTTATTTGTCATATTCTTCAACTTCCTTCTAATGGGTATTAAAAATTCGGCCCGGCCGAACTTTGCTTCCATTTTACTTGTTTTAATTCCATTTTATTAACGAGGTACCCGAAGCAGAGAGCCATTATTGACCATTTTCGAACTAGATCTATGTTTTATAAAAAAAAGTTAAAAAGTGTCATTCGCTTTGCCGACAGTTACATACCCTCAGCATTTGATGATATCACATGTAAATTTTTAATAGGGCAGGGGCCCGCATAGTTGCGCCGATATTCCTGATATTCGGAAGTATAACATTGTGCGTAGTTAAAAAAAAAAAACATCGGTGAATAATTTAGCTTTATATAAGAGTTATAATTATTCAAAATGTTGAAGATTTGTGGATGAGGTACAAGAAAGGGGGCGGGACTAATTTCCCGTTTTAACACCAATTCTAGTATTTGTAGAGATTTTGGGATGTAGCAGGTATGGAATGAATCGGTTGTTCATTTCTTATTTCAGGAATGTTAAGGCTATTCAAAATTTGGATCCGTTGTTGGAGAGGTACTAACTGGAGTGGTCCGTTCTTTCCCATCTTTTCGCCAAATTAAGAGCTATTAGAAATATTGAGATGTGCTAACTTTGAAGACAATCGGGCTTTTATTTATATTTTATAAGAGTTTTAGGTATTAAAGTGGTAACCCTATGTGGGCGTGGTATCATAAGGAGTCCATTTTTAATGTAATTTCGGCAACTGACCTGGCACTGATACAAATGTTCAAATTTCCAAAGTTTAAATAAAATCCGATAATTAATTCTCTCTGACTGACCTCCGAACTCGTTTTATTTTTGATAATAATATTCCGATGGACAAATTTTTTTTGACGGAATCGGGCATTCTTTTCGAGATTTATCAACCACGCCAGTCAACCGGCGGACAACGCTAGAATGACTCCAAATGTCTTAAAAAGGATTTTCTACAAAGAGACCTAGTATCTTAAACCATTATTTTGATTCTTTAGCCTTCCACCATAGACAAATTAGGTATAGACTAAAAAGTTGTCTCATCTGTTATCTCTGAAAAAAGTGGTTAAATAGATGTCGTTCATGCTATACAATCTATTTACTCCCATAATTTAATCGGTTTATTTATCTCATCACACGTGGATCTTAGGGAGGTGTTCTTATCGTTATCTTGATAATTACGCTGAGATTTTAATACCCGAATTTTGCTTATATCATTTACTGGTTTAAAATATGTCCTCTTCGATCATATTCTCATAAAATTTCTGTTAGATTTATAAATATGTTCTGTATTTGTACGTTCTTTCATCAAAGATTTCTTATTTCAAGATTTTTTTGTTCTAATTCGATTCCCAAAAACCCACTGTTTTCCCATTGCGGAAAAGGTGATTGCAGCAGCAACATTAAACACTGTAACATTGTAAATTATGTAGAAAATGAATTACCCCGGCGTATCATAATTAAAATGTATACACAAAGAGATGAAAAGAGAGAAAGAAGTTAAGTGAAGTTAAGTACTTATGCGGAATTCTTAAATCTTGAGTTTTATGGTTAGCATTTTTTTTTTTTTTTTGTTTTTGGAAAACAAATGGTAATGGACTTCGCTACACTAATGCGAAATTTTTAAATATTTCCTGTTTCATTTTCTAATCAAGAGTTAATTTTTTAATGAATTATTGACATTATTTTCGGACAAAAACTACAAAGGAACACCTTATTAACATAGCCTGAAAAGCATTATATTTTACTCGAAGGAAGGAAGGAAGGAAGGAAAAACGGCTTAGTTTTTCCCATAAATATTCCAAAAAATATATTTTCCACCTTCGACGAAATTCGTAGGTAATATAGGTAATGGAAAAGATACATAAATATAATTTTGGATTTATCCTGTTGGAATAATAAAGTCCTGGTTATGTCCTGAGTATTCTCATTAGAGAGCAAATTACTCGTTATTTTCCAAAAAGGGTTTCAATACACATTTTGCCCTGGGTCATACAACAAATCATATTTTGTTGTTATACACATTTCAAACTCATTTCACATTCACATCTAGTATCTAATTTAATATACCTACCTATATTCAAATATAATATGTAATAATATACATTTTACATTCAATTCAAACATTTCATGTAATTTTCAATAACAATTTACGAATAACCTCAGGCGCAGAACAAAATTTACACACAACATTTGTTGCAATCGCACCATAATTAACACATTTATTTTGATAAACTCGATATTTTAGACAGCCCGAAAAAATAAAAAAAAATTCCCTTCTAAATTTGGGTTTAAAATCATCGCTATTATGTGTGTGTGTGTTTTAATAAAAATATGCAAATAGCTTTGCTGGAAATGCTTCAATGCTAGTAATATTTGTAAATGCAAACCAGCAACATTTAAATTCTCCAAATTCCGGGCGAAAAAATTCAAATCATGTGTAACTCATGTTTAGCACCAGAAATAAATGAAGTGATCAAATTACCCATTAAACAATTTTTAATGGAGAAATATATAATTATGTTTATTGGTATTTGAAAATAGTTTAATTTTCAAATGTAAATAAATGTAATTTGTTTCGCTTGCGTAGAAATAGAAATATTTTAAATGAAATGTAGTAATTTTAGAATAAGTTTGACTTGATGTTTGTTACAAACATAACAACTTATGTCCATAACCTGAGTTTTATGTGTATTTCACATTTAAAATGTTCCTTTCCTGAGATAAGAAGATGCATTTTCCAACAAGTTATTCAAAATAATTTCTATGAGAATACCACAAGCAAAGACCGTTATAACGTGTTTAAGTATATGTTTAAGTTTTATACAAAATTAGAATATTCCCTGTGTCAAGAAAGACTTCCCATTTATGAAAAAATCCCAAGAAGGTCTTTTTCCCTAAATTATCAATTATCCTTAAATCTTTACTTTCAAAACTTTCTAGAATGATGATGATATTTGTATTAAGAATATGCAACCATGTGTTAAATATTTTCTCACTCCTGGATACGGCCATGGTGAGAGTAACCCTCGCTCTCTTAATAATCTCAATGAGTTAGGAGCAGAGTTCAGATTTGGTCGTTTTAGCCGGGAGCGTGAGTTGTCGAATAGTACAAGTTTCTTTTATGAAGTTTACTCTCTACTCTTTTCTATGTGGTAGCACTCTTCGAGTTACTCCCGTTTGAGAGATAAGAGTGGAAGTCAAAATGTTCGCATGATTGGTCGCAGAGTACGAGTTTGTTTTATGAAGTTTACTCTCCACATTTTTTATGTGTTTGCGCTGTCTAGTTACTCTTATTTTGAGAGATAAGAGTGAGAGTCAAAATGGTCCAAAAAGAGTAAGAGATTATTTTAAGAGTGAAACCGAGTGTACGTTTCCGTGTTTAATAGTATCACGCTCTACCGCTCAAATTCGAGTCTGAAATGCAGTTCAAATTGAGCTTTGAATTTTGCAGTTCTGGTTAGTAGAATATTAAGATAACAAATTATGAAATACTAGCAAACAAACAATTCCTAGTTGCTCTTACTCGAATGACACAGAAAAAAAGAGCATTCTCAATTTATATTTCTTTCTCGCAGGAGTAGTCCAGCCTAATTTCGAGTGTGAAACGCGGTTCAATTCGAGCTTTGAATGAGTAATGCCGCACATGAGTAATCCCGCTCTTATTCGAGTAGAGTGTGAATATCCCTAGAATTCGATTAGAATCTTCTAAATTTCGAGCGGATGCTAATCTCTCTCACTCGAGGATAAGAAATTCCTACTCGCTCGTACTCGAGTGACATAGAATTCCGATTTATGTTTTCGAGTGCGAAACGCGGTTCTATTCGAGCTTTGAATTTTGGAGTTCTGTTTAGTAGAATATTAAGATAATAAACTATGAGAACTAGAAATTATGAAACACTCGAAAATTAGCAATTAGTACCCGCTCTTACTCGAGTAACACAGAAAATAAAAGAGCATGCCCAATATATATTTTTTTCTGGCAGGAGCAGTTTAGATCAAATTCGATTGTGAAACATGGATCGATTCGAGCTTTGAATGAGTTATCCCTCACATGATAATCCCACTCTTATTCGAGTAGAGTGGGGAAATCTCCCAATTTCGAGTAGAATCTTCTCGATTTCGAGCGGATGTTAACCTCTCCCACTCGAGTACGAGCAATGCCTACTCGCTCTTACTTAAGTGACATAGAATTTCGATTTATGTTTTTATTTGCTCTTCCGTTCAAATTCGAGTATGAAACGCGGTTCAATTCGAGCTTTGAATTTCGGAGTTCTAGTTAGTAGAATATCAAGATAACAAATTATGAGAACTAGAGATAGAAATTATTAAACACTCTAAAACGACCAGTCGCTCTCACACGAGTGGCATAGAAAAATAGAGTATGCTCGATTTATGTTTTTTATTCGCTCTCCCGCTCAAATTCGAGTGTGAACGCGGTTCAATTCGAGTTGTGAATTTCGGAGTTCTGATTAGAAGGATATTAAGATAACAAACTATGAGAACTTGAAATTATAAAACACTCGAAAACGAGCAATTCCTACTCCCTCTAACTCGAATCACATAGAAAAATAGAGCAATTCAATTCGAGCTTTGAATATCAGAATTCTGGTTAGTAGAATATAAAAATAACAATTTGTGAGAACTAGAAACAGCAGAACCTGCTTCAGCCGTTAGAGTTTAGTGATTACTCAATAACGAATTGTTGGAGAAATAACTGACTTAAACCCAAAGTTCTTTGGATAAAAATCCTTTAGGAAATTTTGGGGTCGATCTAGTGATGTTAATCCTCTAACTGTCTAATGCACAGAAAAACTCTCTCAGATAGCATTGATCCTGGTCCACTTTTTGTCCGTCGTAGAATTTTTTTCAAGCTTAAGTTTATTTAAACGATGGGCAATATTGACCCCTCCAACTCCCCTCCTCCTCTAAATTATAAAATCTTTCAATAAATCTTATATTTTCTATGAATGAAAGGTGTTGAATCTTGGAAAATCATAATAACTGTTTCAGACTTAGATCTGGAAAAAGCGGAACGATTCCCCAATTTTTATAAAACTTCGAATATTTTAACATTTCTACTTACTTTTAATTTATTGAGTTTATCAAGCTATGTCCATCGCGAAGCTGGGCAATATTGGCACCGCCATCTCCATCGCTAATCTATAAAATCTTTCAAAGAATCTTATATTTCCTAGGAACGAAAGGTGTTGAATCATGGAAAATTGGAATAACTTTATCAGACTTATTCTACATAATTTGAATCTATTGTGCTTATCAAGCGAAGTTGGGCAATATTGGCCCCTCGTTCTCCACCTCTAAATTATAAAATCTTTCAAAAAATTTTATATTTCCTACAAATGAAAGGTGTCTTGGTCTTGGAAAATCGGAATAACTGTACTAGACTTAGATTAGGAAAAAGCGAAACGATTTCCCAATTTTTACAAAACTTCGAGTTCTTTAAGAATTCTCCTTACATTGGATCTGGAGTGACTGTGGCCTTTATAGGTCCAATTCCTCTGGTAAATTCTGAATCTTGGAAAATCAGAATAACTGTATCAGACATATATCAGGAAAATACGAAACGATTCCCCAATTTTTATAAAACTTTGACTATTTGAAAAATTGTACTTACTTTGGATCTAGAGTGACCGTGGGTCCAATTCCTCTGGTAAATTCTGAAAAGAGATAATACAATAAGTTATTTTCCTGGTTGGCTTCAAAAAATATGAGTAAAATAATTACGAAACAATACGAAAAAGAGAAGAACATTGTAAATATTAAAAAAAAAAACAAATGTAAAATGAAACATGATATAATGTCGAAGAAAATGCCTATAAAATATGCAATTCTGATTTGAGTTAAAATCACAACCATTTAAACAACCTTGAAATAAGACCTGTAATAAAAATTAAATTTCAAATGAAAATTCCCATAAATTAATTTATTATAGCAATTAATTTCAGCCACCTCCTACACCTATAAATTTACATTAAAATTGCACCCATTAACATATTTTTTAAAACATCCACAACAAAAAAACGAAAATTAATTCTAATAAGTGAAATAAATATACATGATTTTTTTCCGAACAAAGATATTTGATCTTTATAAATATCAATGTAAAAATAAGCCATACAAAAATAACAACAACATAAAACAAACACATATTCAACATAAAACGGTAGATGGTTGTTTGTTATTGAAATACGGGATTATTGTATATAGAGATTTTAATTGATAACTTTGTATAATGAGATATTATTTGAGTTTTCATATTTCAGTTCATAATACCGTAATCGTAATCGTCATTTGCATACACAATAGTAAATAAGCTATTCCATGTAAGATAAATGTAGAATTAAAATTTATAATCGTATATGATAATTATATAGAGATAATAATCAACAACATGCATACAAACACAGAGACACGCCGACACATATGACCCACATCCTATATTACACCATTGATATGACATATATACACATTAAATAAAAAAAGTGAAAAACAAAAAAAAAAAAAATCGAAATAAATTGAAAACAATTTCAACACTCTCACACACAAACATCCTCACATATTACCCCCTGAAAACTTAGTTGAAAAATGTAGCAAAATAATATTATAAAACATATACATACATAGGATACCATGATAAAACAATAAATAAAATAACCTTAACTTGCATAAAATTTATGAAAGTGCAAAGCAGTGGCATAAATTCAAATTTAAAAAAAAATAAACAAAAAAATCTAAACGAAAACACTCATTTAAAAACATATTCTAATGACACATAATTATAATGACTTTACATCAATATAACTACATTTAATAATAATAATAATAATTGCAGATGTAAGTTAATTTAATACAAAAAATAAAATTAAAACAATACCGCATCATTAAGGAATAAACTGAGAAAAGAAAGAAAAAAAATCATAAACCACATTATTATTAATATTATTAATAAAAAATGAATAAATAAATAAAAAACAGTACTGTGTATTATGAACGATAAGAAAGAATAACTGGCAAATGTATTCACACAATAAGATAACAATGGTAAATTGAAAGCAAACAACAGAAAGAAGAAGAAAAAACAAACAAATAAAACATAAACATTTATGGTTTAGAAAAATTTTAAATACGACAATGTGTTTCGATTTTTGTATTGATTTCGGGTGGATGCTGTTGGTAAGTAGAGGGAAGAGAAGGGAGAAATCAACAAGGAAGAGGAAAAAGCAACGTGGACATATTCGACATGGAATATGATTCTGGTATTTCATTTTAAAACGTTGGACAGCTTAAAAAATTACAACATATTCGAATTACAGGATAATAGTAAATATAAAATAAACATATAAATGTTCGGCCGGGTCGATCTTTGAATACCTTTCACCGTTTGGAACGAATTTGGCTATTTTCAATAAAAATAAAATCCGTTAAAAAACCGATTGTAGCCGTTATATTAGGGTCTATTTGACGATGTGGACCTCCACAGGCAACTTTTGTCATAAGTCATCACAATATTCAAATACGAAACTTGAAAAAATTCAGTGAATAATACCGAATATAGTTATATTGGGTATATATGAAGACGTGGACCTGCACAAACAATTTTCTGTCTTAGGCTGTAGTATCCATTTTGAACTTCAAATACCAAATTTAAAAAATTCCCTGTCAATAATATAGCTTAAAACACCAAAATACCAAACATAGGCATATACCATAAGATGGGGGGCTATACCAAAACCTGGACCTACATGGCCCATTTTCAATACCAAAAATGTTGCAGACATAATATACATTTGAGTAAAATTTTATCAACCTACTTCATTTCGTTCGGAAGCTAGTGTGATTTCCACAGGCGGACAGTCGGACAGGCATCGCTAAGTCGATATAGAATTTTATGTTGATCAAGAATATATATACTTATGTGTGGATCTAAAATGTATATTTTGAGGTGTTGCAAACGGAATGACACACTAAGTACCCTCCATATTATGGTGGAGGGTATAAGAATTAGAGGTGCATATTGGGCTATACAAAAACGTGGACTTCTGCAGCATTACGAACTCCAAACACTACGTTTCAGGTAATTCTGTTAAAAAACGCAGCTAAAATCATCCAAATAATGAATATTGGGAGGTAGCGTTATATGGGGCCTGTACGACCTGTATGAGCCATTTTCTGTCACATGAGCTAGTATCCATTCTAAATGCCAAATTTGACGTTATGAACATTTTAAAATAGGCTATTTTTCCTCTTTAAATATCTGCGATCAAAACGATGCTAAAAACCCCGAAATGTCAATATTTAAGGAGTTATGAGCTTTTTAAAATAGTCAATTTTTATACCCTCCACCATGGGTAGGAGGGTATATTAACTTTGTCATTCCGTTTGTAACACCTCTAAATATTCGTCGTAGACCCCATAAAGTATATATATTCATAATCAGCATAAAATTCTAAGACGATTTAGCGATGTCCGTCTGTCTGTCCGTCTGTCTGTCTGTCTGTCTGTCTGTCCGTCTGTCTGTTGAAATCACGATAGAGACCACATTATTTGACGTAGACCTTTGAAATTTGGCACAAGTGTGTGTATTGTCCCTAGGATGGTTGGTATTGAAAATGAGATATATCGGTTCACGTTCTGGTATAGTCCCCATATAACGGTACCTCCCGATATTCGGTATTTTGTTGATTTATGCCACATTTTTTCACGGATTTATCTGAAAATTGGTATTTGTAGGTCATGACGGGTCCCTGAGCGTGTGGCAAAACATTGCATGTATAGGTCCACGTTTTGGTATAGCCCCCATATAACGGTACCTACCGATATTCGGTATTTTGATGATTTATGCCACATTTTTTCACGGATTTGTCTGAAAATTGGTATTTGTAGGTCACAACGGGTCCCTGAGCGTGTGGCAAAACATTGCATGTATAGGTCCACGTTCTGGTATAGTCCCCATATAACGGTACCTCCCGATATTCGGTATTTTGATGATTTATGCCACATTTTTTGATTTGTGTAAAAGTTGGTATTTGTGGGTCATAATGGGTCCTAGTTCGTGTGGCGAAACATTGTAATTATAGGTGCACGTGTTGGTGTAGCCCCTATATAACGGTACCTCCCGATATTCGGCATTTTAATGTTTTTTGCCACATTTCTTCTAATGTTCTTTTACCCTAGGGTGGAGGGTATTAAAAGTTTGGCCCGGCCGAACTTAATGTTTTTTTACTTGTTCTTCTTTAAATATCTGCAATCCAAATGATGCTAAAACCCCCGAAATCTCAATGTTTAAGGAGTTATGAGCATTTTAAAATATCTGCGATCAAAACGATGCTAAAAACCCCGAAATGTCAATATATGAGGAGTTATGAGCATTTTAAAATAGGCTATTTTAATTGAGGGTAAATATATACTGTTCGAGTACTGTCACACATATTTTTATGCAGATCGAGTTTTATTTTTCTACTCAAATTCAAAATCATATGCTTCAATTTTTCAGCATTGTTTAGAGCGAAGAACCAATACAACATTACATTTTTGGGATAGCTAGAGAACGATGAAGACACTGGAGGACGTAATTTTAAAGAAATTTTAAATAAAACAAGTAAAAAAAGCAGATAAGTTCGGTCGGGCCGAACTTTTTATATCCTCCACCATTTTGAAGGAACTTAAAACATTTCAAAAAATTCCGCGGAAAAAACTTCTCAAATTGTACCTCTTTGTACCTCACCCATTACCAACTTTAATATATACACCTAATATCATAGGTGTAGTACCCATTACGAAATTTAATTATGAAATTTGCAACAAGTCTGGTGAATAATACCGCAAAAGTTATCCAAAAACCGAATATCGGGAGGTATATATGAATATTGGGGCTACAACAAGCTGAGGACCTGCATACGTGATTTTTTTGTTATAGGTTTTAGAACCCATTACGTACTTTGAATAAAAAATTTGAAACAATTCCGAAAAAATGTCGCTAAAATCATCAAAATACCCAATATTGGGAGATACGTTTATAGCGGAGCTATAGGTAGACGTGGAACTGCACAGAAAATTTTTTCAAACATTGTAGTACCCTATACATTAAAATACCGAATATCGGGAGGTATCGTTATATGGGGGCTATATTAAATTTTAGCCTTCTTTTACAATTCGTTCGGGACATCGCTAAATCGACTTCGAATTTTTCGCTGATCAAGAATATTTATACTTTATTGATTCTGACATGAGTATTTAAAGGAGTTACAAACAAAATGACAAACTTAATATACGCTCCATAGTATGGAGTAGGGTATAAAAAGAGACCATTAATTCTGGTCAAATATCTCCGACGAATTTTTCAACATCCTCCTTAAAAAAAACACACTTCCCAGTTTATATTGATAAGTCAGTCGTGGTCTTATCACAATTATAAAAAAAAGAGAACAATTTTTAACAAATTTATTTTCCTTTAAAATTTAGAGATCTTCAGTAAATCACAATAAAATCATTCTAGAACCTAATATTCATAGTAGACTTTCCCATTAATTGCTCTCGAAGTAAGATAAACTGTCTCATAATTCGAGTTATCTAAAGATCTGACACTTTCGGTATTGTCTGGCTCATCGATTTCATCATAGTATTCATCATTGCTCTCTTCAGCTTCATCATCATAATCGTCCGCAAAAATATTTTTATCTCCCCGTTCTCCTTCATCTAACCCATCATTTGCACCACTTTCATCATCGTAGTATTCAAATTCGTTCTCGGCAGCCTTGTCCGTACTATCGTCTTTATACTCCTCATCGTAGACAACATCATTCTCAATTTCCGGTTTGATTTCTTTCACAGTCCTCGAGTTATCTTCACCCAAGAAGCTCAAAGATCGTGTCGCATGGATTAAATACAACTTGTTCAATTGGCGATAGTATTCATCCAACATGGTTTGATACATGTGATTGATATTTGAACTTGATATTGGAATCGAGGAAGACTCAATTTGTCTGGAGGAAGACTGGGGAGCATATGTATACTCAGGTGTCCCATATGATTGATAGCCATAGTAGTAATTGCTATTAGGATATCCATATGGTGATGGTTGTGGTTGATATATCTGACTGACCGGTTGAACAAATCTTGATGAAAGTGTTGAAGTGGCAGTATCAGTGGTTCCCTGGTTACGTTTCAACACCACAACACAGTTAACAACGGTTTTGCCACTGCCATTATTATCATTACCATTATTGTTAGCTTGTGGTGAATTTGGCGTAACTAAATAAGGTTGATAACCTGGATATTGTGGGATGGACTCGTAGATCACGTTGGGCGCCACACCAGCATAGTCATACTCATATTGGCGACTCCTTCGGCCGGTGGTGTTGGTGGTGGTAGTCGTATTCAAAATACAAAGCGGAAATGCTTTATTTTTTTCAGCAGCTGTCCTGTTGTTGTTATTGTTTCTGTTGAACAAACTTATATTGAATACATTCGACCAGCCTCGGGGTAGAGAACGACTCCATCCGGCAATGGCACGATGGCCTTCTCTCAAAATATGATCTTCGGTTACAACTGGTTGTTGTTGTTGTATGATATCTAACAGAGAACGGTATTGTTGCGAGGAAATTGGGTAGAATTTCAATAGTTCTCCATTGGAGATAGCTGTAAATGAGTGACAACAAAAATCGTATTAACATAATTTATTGTATACGTTGAAAGGAGAGAGTGTGTGTATATTTACCAGCTGCCTTTGTTGGTTGGACAAAAGCTAAACAGAGGGCTATGACCCCCAGCAGTAATGGCTTACAAAACATTTTTGCCACTTTTCAACCGGCTTCTTGTCCCGCAAAAACTGGTCTCATACTAAGCTTTCAATCAACAACTTTTCTTATATTTATACACACTTAACAAGCGTTTAGGTTTCTTGTAAACGAATTTCGGATTAGCTTTTTCACCATTCGTCTTCGATTCTTGGAGAAAAAACAAACACGTCTCAAATTCCCACCGGTTGGTAGTAGACTTACCAACCCAGTTTTAAATGCATTTCAACACACACATACCGTTACGCGGCGAACAATGCCAATGTTCAAAAGAT